CAAACTACCCCAATCCAGCCAAACTACCTAATCTAACCAAACTACCCAATTCAGCCAAAGTCCCCCAGTTCAGCCAAGCTCACCTAAACGATCCTATCAATCTGGTCCAATCCAATCTAACTCACCCCAAACAAAAACAGAGATAGCTGGAGAAACTCTGAAGGGCTGGCAGCAACTATGGAAAGAAAACAGAGTTAACATTCTGAGTCCAGTCACCCTTCTTCTGACTCACCTTATATTCCTGACTTGAATGAAGGGACAGACTGTCCTGTCAGCCAGATTTGCTGATGATACAAAGATGCGTAAAGAATGTGAGTTGTCAGGAGAATACTCACAAATAGTCACAGAGAGATTAAGTGTACAAAAATGTGGCAGCTGGAGTATAATCTGGAAATTGTGAGTTTGTCCAATTTGAGGTGGACAGTTGAGAAGCAGTGCATTATATAACCAAAGGAGACCACCGATACTCTGTCCATGTGAATACGTCTCACCCAATTCTATGAGCTCTTACCTTGGGCAGTAACCTGTTTTGCACAATATATTGAATGCCTTTTGGAAATCCAAATACACGACATTTACTGTACTGCTTCGACCGCAGTGGGGTCACAAGATTGGATGTTTAGGGTTGTAAACTCTGAAGCAGCAAAAGCAATGCTAACAGCCGAAAGGCTCCTTTAAATCCTCTCAATTTTTTTTCCCCTCATGATAGCCATGGTGCAATGAACAGATCCTTGAGGTAGGTTCCTGCTGGAAGGAAAGGCTGTGAAGAAGTTTAATTTGAATAAATATGAGGTTATTGCACTTTGGTGAGGCAAACTAGGGCAGGACTTATAAAATTAATGGTAGGGCTCTGGGATGTGTTGCTGATCAAAGAGATCTAGGGGTGCAGGTACATAGTTCCTTGAAAGTTGAGTCACAGGTAGACAGGCTATTGAAGAAGGCATTTGGTATGCTTGCCTTCATTGTTCAGTGCATTGAGTATAGGAGTTGGGACATCATATTGCAGCTGTACAGGACATTGGTTAGGCCACTTTTGGACTACTGCGTTCAATTCTGATCTCCCTGCTATGGGAAAGATTTTATTAAACTTGAAAGGGTTCAGAAAAGATTTACAAGGATGTTGCCAGGGTTGGAGGGTATGAGCTATAGGGAGGGGCTGAATAGGCTGGGGCTATTTTCCCTGGCGTTTCAGAGGCTGAAGGGTGACCTTATCGAGGTTTATAAAATCATGAGAGGCATGGATAGGATAAATAACTGGGGTCTTTTCCCCAGGGTGGGGGAGTCCAAAACTAGAGGGCACAGGCTTAAGATGAGAGGGGAAGGATTTAAAAGGGTCCTGAGGGTTAATATTTTCATGCAGAGGGTGGTGTGTGTATGGATTGAGCTGCCAGAGGAGGTAGAAGAGGTGGGTATAATTGGGGTATATGAATGGGAACAGTTTAGAGGAATATGGGCCAAATGCTGGCAAATGGGTCTAGATTTATTTAGGATATCTGTTTGGTTTGGATAGGTTGGACTGATGGGGTTGTTTCTGTGCTGTATGACTCCATGATTCAAATGAGTGCTCTGTTGAACACCTCTCACACCTAACTCAACTTTAACTACCCTTGCCACAATCAACAGCTCTCCCCAAATATTCCTTCTGGGATCACAGAAAGTCTACAGAATTAAAATGAGGACACACTGGCAAAAGGTTTGGGAAGTACTGATCTACTGGTTCACTTTGATCCACCCTGCTTGTTATATCCTCAAAGATCTCTAATAAATCCTCAAAAATCTCTAATAGATCTGTCAAATGCAACTTCCCTTTCACAAATCCATGCTGACTCTGAATTACATCATGGCCTGCTTTTACCTCCTTAATAATGGATCCTGTTGTTTCCCTGTGATAGATTCTAGACTGACTGAACTGTAGCTTCCCATATTTCTGTCTCCTTCCTTTCTTGAATAAAGATTTATTATAACCCTGCCTAAGGCTGCCAAGTTTCTGATGTAACTTTGCTAGTAGGGACTAGTAGTTTTTTTCAAAAATTGGATAAAACATGAGATCCAGGAGACCTACCGAGAAAATAAAGCGACAAGATTCCACAGTTTCAAACAAACAACATTAAATGTAACTCTGCAGTGCTAGAACAGTAACTAAATCAACAATATGTGTACAACTTATTTCTAACCCTCATCACCCTCAGAGAGAAAATTTCATCTCATCTTTGTTTTAAATGGGGGACTCCTTATTTTCAAACAGTGATCCCTAATTCTAGATTTGGTCTCCACACCCACCCTGTCATGACACCACAAGGTTGTACAGGTTTTAATCAAACCACAACTTCCCTCATCACAAGATCAATGACCTTTCCACTTTCTGAACTCCCCAGGGCTTCTTCTGAGTCCTGACTCTAGTATTTAGCTTGCTTCATTTTTGGATAAACATATGGATGATAATGGAATAGTGTAGGTTAGATGGGCTTCAGATTGGTTTCACAGGTCGGCGCAACATCGAGGGCTGAAGGGCCTGTACTGCGCTGTAATGTTCTATGTTCTATGTTCTAATTCCTAGGATTTCTTTCTGAATTCTTTGATTTATTTGTCAGAACTGGGCGTTGCTGGCTGGGCCAGCATTTATTGTCCATCCCTAGTTGCCTTTGAGAAGGTGGTGGTGAGCTGTCTTCTTGAACCACTGTAATCTGCTAGTCTAATGACAAGTATTGTCATAAAAACTCACCCAGCTCACTAATGTCCTTTAGGGAAGGATATCTGCTGTTCTTGCCCAGTCTAGAGCACATGTGACTCCAGACCTACAGTAAAATGACTGACTTTTACCTGTCCACTGAAGTGGCTTAGACAGCTAAATAGTTGAAGGGAAATTAGGGATGTGCAAACAAAAAACCATCCTTGCCAGCAATGTCCCTATCCCATGTAGGTGCTTTGGTTTGGATGGAGTGGTGGGTTGGGTGCAGTGAGTTGGAGTTGAGTGGGGTGGGTTGACTGGGATAGCATTTCTGAGACTGCGATGAGTTTGACAGGGAGATATTAATTCTCGTAATATTTTCTGTTTCCAGGTTTTAACAGCATTGCTGCAGCTCGCGTGTTTTGCAAGTTAATGCAGCGCCTGGGGTTTGATCGGTTCTACGTGCAGGGAGGAGACTGGGGCTCTCTGATTGCCACTAACATGGCCCAGATGAAGCCACAGTAAGTCTTCCAGTTAACAAAAAAGACATTACTCATCTCCCACTTAGTCGGGGAAAGGAAGTGGCTGGGAGGGTGGGGGATGGAGTTTGTGATGGGAGAGGAGTGTATGCCCAAAAAGACAGAAGGAGAACAGTCAGAGAGGGGCCAGGCTGGGAATGAGTGTTGGGGAGGGGAGGTGTAGGGTGGGGTGGGAGAAGGTGTCATGGGCGTTGGAGAGGGTAAGGGCTCGAGAGAAAGGCGTTGGAGGTGGGAATGGGGGGGTGCAAAAAGAGGGTGGCAGAAGGGAAAGTGTAAGGTGGGGTTGGGGGAAGGTTGGGATGGAGGGAGGGAAGGTGATGAGTGAGTGGAGAGTGAAGAAGGGAGTGGGGTGCCAGGGAGAGAGAGGGGACAGGGAATGAAGAAGGAAAACTTTTGAGCTCTGCCTTGCTGCTCTGCACTGGGTGTAATGGTGCATTGCTACTGCTGAGGGTACAGTAGGGTAAAGTGGGTGGGTAGAGGGTGCTTCTGGGGTGGGTAGAGGGTCCCCAGTGTGTAGAAGTTGCCCACCCCCACCTTGATGGACAGAGGTTGCTCCCCAGCAGGTGATCCTTCTGTGCATATTGTTGCTGTCCTTACCAACCTGTCTGCTCCCTCTCACTACAGGAATGTGAAAGGAATACACTTGAATTTCTTCCCCAATGCCAGGATGGGACTGAAGATACTTCCCTCCCTCTTACTCGGGCAGTATGCTCCATCGCTGGTTGGATTCACCCAGACTGACGTTGAACGGATGTATCCGTTTGTTAAAAAGAATGTCTATGATTTGCTGAAGGAATCTGGCTACATGCACATTCAGGGCACAAAACCCGACTCCCCAGGTAGGTGTTCAAAACTGACGGAAACCAAGGATTAATCAGTCAGCATTGAATCAAGGGGGGGGACAGTGTATACAGGACATTGCTCCTCAGGCGTGAGTGACAGACTGGAGACTCATTGAGAGGTTCGGGGGTTTAACATCTTGGATAATAGATACCTGGGAGTGAGTTAGAATCTGAAATTGAGTTACAGACTGGAAGCTAATTGACGATTTCAGCAGTTATATACCCAGGATAACTGATACCTGAGCATGAGTTAGAGGCTGAATTCTAATTTGAGAAGTTCAGTAGTTACATATCCAGGATAACTAATACCTGGGAGTGAGTTATAGACTGTATTATAACTGAGAGATTCAGCAGTTATTTATCTAGGATAACAGATTGTCAGGAGATTTGGCAACATAATCCTCTCAGTGTTGATATTTACCAGGCTGCGCACTGAATGACTCCCCTGTGGGTTTGGCTGCTTACATACTGGAAAAGTTTTCAACCTGGACCAACAAGGATTTCCGGGATCTTGAAGATGGAGGACTGACGAGGTGGGAAGTTCAAAAATTCTCAGCTCTTATTTCTCCCTCCACAGCTTCCAGGCCTGGCAGTGCTCTGAAATCTACATGTTTACACTAAAGTCAATAAGTGATAACGAACAGAATACCTGACTGACACAGCATCGACCTCCCCAATGGTTAATTGCTCTGTTAGTGTGGTACTGAGTCACACAGAGCAGCAAGATCCCAGCTCTCAGCAGTCAGGACCCAATCGCATGGGAGGGAGAATCTTCCCAGCTCAAATCAGTTTGTTTGTAGCACATCAAAGTAATGGTGAGAGATTGGGAGGCCATGAAAGTTAAGGGACGTGTCAATGTTCAAAATGCTAAAGTACTCTTAACTTTCAAACAACTCCAATTTACTTACTTTCAATATTGAACATGAACTAAACTCCCATTAGTCCTGATAATATCATACACAATCATTCCTCCCAGTTGATCTCTGAGTGAGGAGAACTGTCTTTACTTGAGTGATGTTGGATGATTGAAATACTTTGTTACAGGTGATGATTGAGGCTCAGGATTAGAGACACAGGGGTACTGGGCTCCAGGTAAAGCAGGTTCATTTTGAATAGGTTCAGTGAAAAGAATGGTGTCTTCCCGTAGTTCTATGCAAATAATTCCTAATTATTACTGAGGCATTGTGTGTGTGTGTGTGTGTGTGTGTGTGGATACGATTGGATTTGATAGTCCAATAGGCTGCTGAATTAGCAGATGCGTTGTTAATCTGGCTGTTACTGTGAGAGTGAGGGATCGTTGAGCTCTGGAGTGTTTCCTCTTAATTAAGCGTACAAGAAAACGTTAGCCAAAAATATAAAAAGTAGGCAGGAAAAGTTTCTATGAATATTTATAGAAGAAAAGTTTTGGTCTTATTGATAGACTGGAGAATTAACAATGGAAAAGAAGGAAATGACAGACGAACTGAACAGGTATTTTGCAACAGAGATAGTAGGAACTGCAGATGCTGGAGAATCTGAGATAACAAGTTGTAGAGCTGGATGAACACAGCAGGCCAAGCAGCATCATAGGAACAGGAAGGCTGACATTTCGGGCCTAGACCCTTCATCAGAAATGGGGGAGGGGAAGGGGGTTCTGAAATAAATAGGGAGAGAGGGGGAGGCGGATAGAAGATGGATAGAGGAGAAGATAGGTGGAGAGGAAACAGACAGGTCAAAGAGGCGGGGATGGAGCCAGTAAAGGTGAGTGTAAGTGGGGAGGTAGGGAGGAGATAGGTCAGTCCAGGGAGGACGAACAGGTCAAAGGGGCGGGATGAGGTTAGTAGATAGGAAATGGGAGTGTGGCTTGAGATGGGAGGAGGGGATAGGTGGGAGGAAGAACAGGTTAGGGAGACAGGTCAAGGGGGCGGGATAAGGTTAGTAGGTAGGAAATGGGGGTGTGGCTTGAAGTGGGAGGAGGGGATAGGTGGGAGGAAGAACAGGTTCTCCCTACCTACGTCTGTGACACCATCCACGCCCTCCACCTCCTCCAGAACTTCCAATTCCCCGGTCCCCAACACCTCATCTTTACCATGGACGTCCAGTCCCTATACACCTGCATTCCCCATACAGATGGCCTACAGGCCCTCTGCTTCTTCCTGTCCCGCAGGCCCGACCAGTCCCCCTCCACTGACACCCTCATCAGCTTAGCCGAACTCATCCTCACCCTCAACAACTTCTCTTTCAATTCCTTCCACTTCCTACAGACAAAGGGGATGGCCATGGGTACCAGCATGGGCCCAAACTATGCCTGCCTCTTTGTAGGTTACGTGGAACAATCCCTCTTCCGTACCTACACTGGCCCTAAACCCGACCTCTTCCTCCGTTACGTTGATGACAGTATCGGCGCCGCCTCGTGCTCCCACGAGGAGCTCGAGCAGTTCATCCACTTCACCAACACCTTCCACCCCAACCTTAAGTTCACCTGGACCATCTCTAACACCTCTCTCACCTTCCTGGACCTCTCTGTCTCCGTCTCAGGCAACCACCTCGAAACCGATATCCATTTCAAGCCCACCGACTCCCATAGCTACCTAGAATACACCTCCTCCCACCCACCTTCCTGCAAAAATGCCATCCCCTATTCCCAAATCCTTCACCTCCGCCACATCTGCTCCCAGGATGAGGCATTCCACTCCCGTACATCTCAGATATCCTCGTTTTTCAAGGACCGCAACTTCCCCCCCTCGGTGGTCGAGAACGCCCTCCACCGTGTCTCCCGCATTTCCCTCAACTCATCCCTCACACCCCGTCCCCGCAATAACAACCAAAAAAGAATCCCCCTCGTCCTCACGTACCACCCCACCAACCTCCGGATCCAACGCATCATCCTCCGACACTTGCGCCATCTGCAATCCGACCCCGCCACCAAAGACATTTTTCCCTCCCCACCCTTATCTGCTTTCCGGAGGGACCACTCTCTCCGTGACTCTCTTGTCCGCCCCACACTCCCCTCCAGCCCAACCACACCCGGCACTTTTCCCTGCAACCGCAGGAAGTGCGACACCTGCCCCCACACCTCCTCCCTCACCCCCATCCCAGGCCCCAAGAAGACTTTCCACATCAAGCAGATGTTCACCTGCACATCTGCTAATGTGATATACTGCATCCGCTGTACCCGTTGTGGCCTCCTCTACATCGGGGAAACCAAGCGGAGGCTTGGGGACCGCTTTGCAGAACACCTACGCTCGGTTCGCACTAAACAACTGCAGCTCCCAGTCGCGAACCATTTCAACTCCCCCTCTCATTCCTCAGACGACATGTCCATCCTGGGCCTCCTGCAGTGCCACAACGATGCCACCTGAAGGTTGCGGGAACAGCAACTCATATTCCGCTTGGGAACCCTGCAGCCCAATTGTATCAATGTGGATTTCACAAGCTTCAAAATCTCCCCTCCCCCTACTGCATCCCAAAACCAGCCCAGCTCGTCCCTGCCTCCCTAACCTGTTCTTCCTCCCACCTATCCCCTCCTCCCACCACAAGCCACACCCCCATCTCCTACCTACCATCCCTTCTCGCCCCCTTGACCTGTCCATCCTCCCTGGACTGACATTTCTCCTCCCTACCTCCCCACCTACACTCACCTTTACTGGCTCCATCCCCGCCTCTTTGACCTGTCTGTTTCCTCTCCACATATCTTCTCCTCTATCCATCTTCTATCCGCCTCCCCCTCTCTCCCTATTTATTTCAGAAACCCCTTCCCCTCCCCCATTTCTGATGAAGGGTCTCGGCCTGAAACGTCAGCCTTCCTGTTCCTATGATGCTGCTTGGCCTGCTGTGTTCATCCAGCTCTACACCTTGTTATCTCAGGTATTTTGCAACACTCTTCACTATTGAGGATACAAGTAACATCCCAGAAGCTACAATAAAATCAGGAAATGGAAGGGAGGGAGGATCTCAGCAAAACCATCGGAGGAGTTGTACTGAGTAATATGGAGCTGTGGGCTGGTAACTGCCCAGTCCTGATCAACCTCATCCCGGGGTGTTAAAAGAAGAGGCCAGTGAGACAGTTCATCCTTCGGTTAGAATTTTTCAAAACTCCCTAGATGTGAGAAGGTTCTATTAGTTTGGAAAACAGTGAATGTGACTCCTTTGGTTAAAATTGTAGGGAGACAGAAAACAGGAAACAGGTGTCATGACCTGAAGCCTCAGAAACGACAGAAAGACATGGTGTTGTATGCTGTTAGAAGTGTCTAATATGACTAATCATGCTGAGGGTGACAGGGTCAGAAGGAAGTGGGAGAGAACAGACAGCAACAGCAGCATCAGCCCTGGCCATCACCAAATCTTTCAACGTAGATTGATTAAGGGAAGACCGTGTTTAACAATTAGATTGAGTTTTTCGAGGAGATAACCAGGAAAGTTGATGAGGGAATATATTTGATTGTAGAATCAGAAGGTACAGAAGAGGCCCTTAGGCCCATTAAGTCTGTACCATCATGATGTGGTCTATAAGGACATTTGCAAGGCTTTTGACAAGGTGCCTTACTACAGCCTGGTCAAGAAAGTAGGATCCCACAGGATCCAAGGCAAAGTGGCACTCTGGATCCAAAGTTGGCTGACAGGCAGGAAGCAGAGGGTGACGGTAGAGGAATGTTTCTGTAATTTATAGTTTGCTTCCAGTGAGGTTCTGCAGGACCTGCAGTGCTGGACCTTTGCTGTTCATGGTGGACATTAATGATTCAGATTAAAATGGAGGAGGTATGCTGTAGAAGTTCACAGATGACACAAAAGTTGGTCGGGTGATAAACATTGAGGAGGATAGCCATAAACAGCAGGAGAATATCAACAGACTGAATAGGTGGGGAGGGCAGCGATAAATAGAATTCAACCCAGAAATGTATCATTATCCCCAGTAATGATCTCTCAGAGTGTTTGATGGGGAAAGTCCATTGCTATGTATTAAGTTCTATTTTTGTCTTTTGGATCTTTCACTCCCCAATTATAGGAAATTCTCTCTGGATGAACTTCTGACCAATGTGATGATCTACTGGGTGTCAGGCTCCATCACCTCCTCCATGCGCCTGTACAAAGAGAACCTAGGAGCTGATTTCCAGAACCGGGTTGATGCCAAGTGAGTGCTGAGACCATCTGCCTGAATGTAACTGTGTGACACCATCACTGCTTCAGGCTCAATAAGTAATGCTATAATGACACCGTGCCTCCAACCAACACACCATTTCATACAGTGACCAATCACTGAGGATTCATGGAAACACAAACAAACAGTGAGCACCTGGAGATCTGCAAAGAAGCATGTTATTCAGGCGCATTTAAGGAGCACATCTGAGTTTGGCACAGTATAGAGAAAGCTTTACTCTGTACCTCAACCTCTGCTGTACCTGTCCTGAGAGTGTTTGATGGAGACAGTGCAGATAGAGCTTTACTCTGTATCTAACCCCATGCTGTCCCTGCCCTGAATGTTTTTGATGGGATAGTGTAGGGGGTGCTTTCCTCTCTGTCTCACCCCTTGCCAACACAATCCTGGGAATGTTTGATGGGACAGTGTGGAGGATGCTGTAATTTCGTCAGTAACTCTATGCATCTCTTTACCTGTCTTTCTTCCTCTAAAATGTCCTTATGACCTCTCTCTTTGACAAGGTTTGGTCATCTGCAGTGATTTCCCCCCATTGCTCACTGTCAAATTCTCTCCAATGATGCTCCTTTGAGATGCATTGGGATGTTAAAGGTGCTGTATAAAAGGGAGTTGTTGGTTTCTCTCAGCTTGTCTCTCTATCCCTGTGGCTGTGATGAGGCCAGGATCACTTGGAAACCTGATTTTCTTATTCTTGTCTTTTTCCTTTTCTTCTTCCAGGGTTGGAGTTTATGTTCCCGCGGGAATGGCTGCATTTCCCAATGAGTTGATGCACATCCCATTGGTCTGGGCCAGGCAGAAGTACAAGAAGATTATGACCTTCTCATACATGTCTCGTGGGGGGCATTTTGCAGCCTTTGAGGAGCCAGATCTATTGGCTGAGGATCTCCGGAATTTTGTCCAAACTGTGGAAAAGAGTGCCTGAGCATTCCAGTTCCTATGGTGTTTGAGAATCTGGTTCCCATATGATAGCTCTTTAGTTTCCAATCTCTGTCTGATAATTAATGCTGGAACTTTCTCTCACATTCGCAAGCTGATGAAAATCGTATCAGTGTTGTTGGAAAATTCATTACATTCTGTTTGACTAATGAATCTGCCATCTGTTTCAACTGGGAGATCCTATTTTTTGATTCCTGTGTATTAATTCAATGACAAATCAAAAAATAAAATAGAAACATTCCTGATGTTATGATTTTGATAGGAGTGTGCTGGGAGACAAGATCCACCTCTCTGTTAGTTGTACCAAAAGGGTGGTATATCAGAAGATTGAACAGAATATTAAAGCAGTAAAGAATGACCAAAAGATTAATAAAAAGGAAAACATTTATAGTACAAGAGAAGGTTAGCCAAAAATATAAAAAAAAGTAGGAGAAGTTTCTATAAATATTTATAGGAGCATTGTTGATCTTTTTGATAGACTGAAGAATTAATGATGGAAAAGAAGGTAATGACAGACGAACTGAATGGGTATTTTGCAATAGTCTTCACTACTGGGGTTACGAGTAAAATTCCAGAAGCAGGAATAAATCAGGAAATGGAAGGGAGGGAGGAACTCAGGAAAATCACCAGAGGAGTTGTACTAAGTAACATGGAGCTGTGGGCTGATAACTGCCCAGTCTGTACCTGACATATGCTTTCTTCTTTTTCTTTATCAAACTCTTGATATCCCTTGACATCCAGGGTTCCCAGAATTTGCTGTCTTTGCCCTTCATTATTTGAGGAACACACTGTCCCTCTACGCTCACTTTACTATTTTTAAAAGACTCCCACTTTCCAAATGTAAACGTACCTGCTAGTAACTGCTCCCAGTCCATGTTTACCAGATCCTATCTAATGATATTGAAGTTAATCTTCCCCCCCTTTAGACATTTAACATCTGGAATATCTTTATGCCTTACCATAATAATGTTGAAACTTACAGAGTTATGGCCACTATCCCACTGAAACTGTGGCCACTTGACCGGTTTCATTCCCTTGAATTATTCCCCATCTCTAGTCGGACTATTTATGAACGGACAACAAAAGCTCTCCTGGATACACTTTAAAAATTCCACCCGATCTAATCCTTTCACACTAAGGTGATCCCAGTTAATGTTGGGAAAGTTGAAATCCCCTCCAATTTATGACCCTGTTTCCCTCACACCTTTCTGTGATTTGTCTACATATCTGCTCCTCCCTCTCCCTCTGTCTGTTGGGAGACCTGTCCTATAATTCCAGCAAAGTGATTGTCCCGTTTTTATTTCGAAACTCTACCGAAATGGCCTCATTTGAAGAGCCTTCTAAGACATTCATCCTCACTACTGCAATGATTGTCTCCTTTATCAATAATGGAATGCTCCACCTTTCTTACAGACCCCCCAACCATGACTGAAACTTCTAATCCCTGGAATGTTGAGCTGCCAGTCCTGCCCTTCCTTCAACTATTTCTCAATGATTGCAACAATGTCACTTTCTCATGTGCTGATCAATGCTCTTTAAGTTCATCTGCCTTCTCAGGCAGGCTCCTTGCATTTGAATATATAAAATTTAGCTTTCTAGTCCCCCTATCCTGCCCATGTCTTCTCCACCTACTGGATTGTTCTAGCATTTCAACACTCAGTGGTATGTGGGCACTGTAAGTAATTATTTTTCTATTCATTTGTGGGACATGGGCATCGCTGGCTGGCCAACATTTCTTGCCCATCCCTAGTTGCCCTTGAGAAGGTGGTGGTGAGCTGCCTTCTTGAATCACTGCAATCCTCCTGCTGTGGGTTGACCCACAATGCCAGTAGGGAGGGAATTCTAGGATTTTGACCCAGCTACAGTGAAGGAATGGCAATATATTTCCAAATCAGGATGGTGAATGGCATAATCATAGTCAATTGTATAATCTTTTCATCTTTTAATTATAAATTCTGTGTCTTGATGTTTCCCTTCTCATTACATTTGAGGAAGGGGCAGTGCTGCGAATGTGTGTGTGTTCAAATAAACCTGTTGGACCATAACCTGGTGTCATGTGATTTTTGATCTTGTCCAACCCAGTCCAACACCGGCACCTCCACATCTGAGCCCTGTACTCCATATACCAGGCCTTATTATTCACATAGATAGTAGGAACTGCAGATACTGGAGAATCTGAGATGACAAGGTGTAGAGCTGGATGAACACAGCAGGCCAAGCAGCATCAGAGGAGCAGGAAGGCTGGCGTTTCGGGCCTAGAAGGGTCTAGGCCCGAAACGTCAGCCTTCCTGC